TTGCAGCAACAGACACTTCCGAGCGCAGATCGACCTGATCAGTCACCTCCGCACACACCCTACCCATCCAGTGATATACATGTATGATAATAAAGTCAAGGCCATCTTCGCCAGCGGACGAACACACGTAGACCTATGTCCATATGTGTGTCTGTGTCTGTCATGTGTGAGTGAGTGTGTGTGTGCGTGTGTGCGTGTGTGAACGTACGCCAGTGAGTGTGTGTTTGTTTATGTAAGTCTGCAGTCAGTGCGTGCCTCTGAGTGTGTACGTGTGTGATTGTGTGTAAGTATATGTTTGTGTCTGTAACTTGTAACTGAATTTGTGTGTTTGTGTACATGGGTGTAAGTATGAGTATGTGTCTCTATCTATGTATGAATATGTGTGTTTGTGCATGAGTTTTTGTTTGTGTCTGTATTATGCGTGAGTATGAGTTTGTGTCTGTCTGTGGATGAATATGTGTGCTTGTGTATTTGTGTTTAAGTTTGTGTCTGTATTTGCGTCTGGAGGAATGTGTATTTGTGTATCTGTGAGTTATTAGGCCCTACACGTATGTGTTTGTGTCTGTATCTGTGAATGAATATCTGGAAGCTCTCGTGGCTTAGAGATTAAGGTGTTCGCCTCTCATTCAATAGGCTAGCATCTGCGTTTGTTGCCATTTTTTTGTCCAAAAGTTGCCACAAAAAGTGGCAAAAGTTGCCAAAAAAGTTGCCATTAATTTTTAAGCTTTCAACTCTCTGTGACGACGTATATAGCAATATGTTGATAGAGGTAACAATATAAAGCACCAGAATTTCTTGTGCTCTGCGTTTTAAGCACCCAGAATATCATTTGCAGTCACCCAGAGTGAAAAAACGTGAAAAATAAAGGTTTCACAACAGAATGAAATCAAATTTAGAACAGCACGGATAAATAACCACAAAAATTAACAAAGTAGGGCGGTTGTCTACCAATCCGAAAATTGGCTATTTTAACCCTTAGCGTGTGTAATTAAAGAAAAAGTAGGCCTACAGGGTTATATTACCTGTAAACTATGGAATCACACTCTATTGGGGCGTGCCAGTGTCAGTTTTCTAACATAACACATTTATATTTTTAAAAGAATAGGAACAGCATCAAATTAAAAGACATTATGCTGTATTATATGTATAAACACACACACACACACACACAC